AAATATTTTTTGTTTTTATTAAAATAAATTTCATCAATTTTTTTAAATGTAAGTATTTTTTTTTTGTAAACGATACTTTTTTAATATATTTGTTTCATTTTATAAATGTAATTTTTTTAATTAAAAATTTTTGAGACTTGGCCGTTCAAAAATTTTCTTAGACTTTTTATAATTTAACAAGTTTTGAAATGTTCAAAAACTTAAGAGGTTTGATAAAATTTTCTAAACATTCTTATAATACATAAATTCCCATATTTGAAATATCATGAACTTGTTTTCTTGTAACATCATTTTGTAACTCAAGCAAGTTCATCAAAACCGACTTGTTGCAAATGTTTGCGACTTAAAATCGACTCGTTAGAAATGATTGCGACTGACTTCATCAAAACGACTTGTTGTTATAACAAAATGTACGTTGCTTTAGGATACTTATCAAATATAGAGGAAAGAAAAATATTCAAATCATTTCATTAAATGGGAAATGTATGCTTTCTTCTCCGACACAATAATGTCATTGAGTTTGATTTTATTTAAGAAGACGACGGTGCAGGTGCAGGCGCAGCCAATAGAGATTTGGCCGGCGGGTATAGCGCCACCGCCCCTCGTGTGCCACTCGAATACTTTCTATATATCACCTTCCTCTTCTCATCATCCTTCGCCACCGCATGGAACGCCACCATCAGCTTCGAACATTCCTTCACCTGCTCCTCCCCAAACCCCGTGTGCAACTGCAGCGTTTCATGCCACGCCGGAACCTTCTTCAGTGTGCTCCGTGCTGCATGCACCGCCCCCGCTGCAATCATCGAGGGGCAGTACCTTATCATCTCGTAGTTCATCATCCCCAGTTCTGCATAAAAATACACCATCTGCTCCATCTGTTCCAAATCACCAAAATCAGAATCAGATGTTTATAATCACAAAACAAAAATTAACCACATCGGAATATGCGTTATGCGTACGTTGATTGTTTCCTCCGGTGGAGTGGCGGCGGCTTTGATGAATCTTGTAAGGAAGACGTAAGGTGTAGGGACTGTTAGATTCCATTCCAATCGACCCAGAATCCTTTTTTCCATCACCAGAACATGGCGATGCTCGTAAGCTCGATCGGAGATTTGGACCAAGTCGTTGACTTCAGGTGCCCAGATTTCTTCGTATTTTGAAGCAATAAGCATTGCACTCATTCCTACACACTGTAATTCTCTCCTGGCCACAGTTTCAGACGCCAAGAATCTGTCCACAATGTTGATTGTTAGATACAATGTTTCGTTTGTAAGCTCGAATTTGTTGTGAACTTCGATGAGCCAGTCGATCAGAATCGCCCTCATTTTGTCGTTGATCTCCGGCTGGGAATGCATATAGTCATGGACTTTGCTTTCATTCTGCATCAAACACACATCAAGAAACTCAATAAAACTTTATAATATATACATACATACATATATATATATATATATATATATATATATATATATATATATATATATATTCTGCAAGAAACCCACATCAAGAAACTCCATAAAACTGTATTATATATGTATATATATACCTCTACGAGTTTGTAGAACTTGTATATGTCTTCAACATATTCGACTGCTGCCAGTTCGTTATTGATATCTAAAGCATCGATGTCGACAATATTTGTTGGTTTCGGTTTGTAGTTAAGGCCACAGGCAGCTTTGCTTCGGGCAGTTAAAGTCGAAGTGAGGGACGATTGCGGTTTCTTGTTTCTTGAAGAAGACGATTCGGGTTTCTTCAATTCTTTGCTATCGGGACTGATCTCGATCACTGTTGCATTCTGGGGCACTGGTGGTGGCTTTGGCTTGACTGAAACTTTCTTCTTGGCAACCACTTTGTTGTTTTCGATATTCACTGCCATTGGTTTCTGTAAAATACCCATCAAGAAGATTGATTTTTGGTTGTAAATTGGTGAGATTATTGAAGGAATTTGAAGAAATGTTTTACCTTTTTGTTGTCAGCTGCTTCCTTTTGAGCGTTGGCAAGTAATTGTGCACAGAAACTTCTTGTAACTGGTCGGGTGATTGCCGGCAGAGGCTTGCCGTCAAGTGGCCGGAGAGTTACGAGGTTGCCGATATCACCTAGTGCACGGCGGCTTTTGCCTTGTCCTGCCACCGCCATGTTCTTCTGCTTCGCAACACCAACTGCTTCACCTTCACCAACGATAAAAGAACAAGATTTAATCTTTATATCAAGAAACTTCAAAACAAAAGAACCATCAACAGAAGAACTCGAAACGACTCACAATCAAGACTTCAAAAGAAGATCTATTGGGTTTCAAATCGAATCAAAAAAGGGATCGAATCAATAAATAGACATCTAAAAGAGCATCATCGATGATAAAAAAAGGGATCTAAATCGAGAAATACTGAAAACCCAGAAGTCTATCAGAAACCCAGAATGCATCATCGATCAAAAAAGGGAATCTAAATCCAGAAATACTCAAAAACCCAGAAGTCCACAGTTTTCGAAAAACCCATCAAGAAACAGAATATAAGAAAATCGATCAAAAAAGGATAAAAAAGAAAGAAAAAAAAATCGATCAAAAAAGGAACAAAATAAAGAAAAAGAAAACCCATCATCAGAAACCTCAGAAGAACAAGATAAATGCAGTAAATCTGAAGGTTTCAGATTGGGATGAACTTAAAAAACTCTCAGAACGGTGAGAAATCAGAATCAAGTATACAGTTCAACACACAAGATCCATTTGCTTTCAGAACTTTGAATCAGAAAGAACGCAAACCTAACTTCAGATGAACAAAAATACATCAGGAACTGATCTGAATCTAATACTAATCAAAACCCAAAAGCCATCGATAGTGAAAACCCCTAAAGGAACAGATTATACGAGATCGAGATCAAAACCCAGATGAAAAGTAGGGTAAAGATTAGATGGATACCTCTGTTTTGTTCTTGAAGAGCATGCCTTGATGCCATCTTAATCGATTGATATTAAAGGATTGGAAATTTAGAACAAAGAACACAGACAACACTCCTCACACTCTCTCTCGCTCTCTCTTTCGCTCTGGATCTCTCTGTCGAAACTCTATTGAGTGTTGTTTGTGGAAAGAGACGGCCAACCCCTTTTTGAAGCCAAGGAATGGACGCCTCCACATAAGCCCTGCCCAACGGTCATATTTCTAGCCGTTGCCCTATTCAAATTTTTGCTGTAATGGATTTACCTATTAAAGAATGTGCGACGTTCAGAACATGCCCCCTCTAGTTTGGTGTTATGACAATTAGACCCTCTATTTTTCCAAATTAGATCATTTCTGCTTTATTTTTGGTGTTTTGACGGAACAGTTTCCCTCTGTTTAGTCTTTGCTAACAAAGTAATTTCCTTCCGAGTTCTAATATTATTTTTTGAACAAAACTGTTACTATATCATTTTTTTATTAACCTAGATATCCAACGCGTTATGTGAGCCGACTAATCCTAGGACGACTACTTGTTTTGCATATAACCCGGAGTCACCGCATTTGAACCTCCGTGGCCACAATGAGATTTTTATTCCTCATTGGATTTGAATCTGGGACCTCCTTATACTTTTGACCTTTTATTTTTAAAGTAGATTGCAATTTTGGTTCTTGTGGTTTCTTGCTTTCTTGGATTGGGTCCCTATAAAATTTTTATTGCAAAAAAACCTTTGTAGTGCACAAAAATGTTTGGTTTGATCCTTCCAACTAACGCTTCTAAAAAAAATTCGTTAAATCAAGAGGTATTGCGGTCTTTTTCATTTTTCTCATATTCATATATAAATATTCTAATTATTTATAATAATACATATAATACTAATTATATGTTGGGTTCCGGTTAGAATGAGAGTTAAGGTGAGAAGCGTAAGAAATGATCTCCATCCTTAGATGCACATTAGAATGAGATGCACTGGACCAATCTTCGTATCATTGGTGGGTTTGAGATGAAAGATGATCAAGGGTCCAGATCCTTTCTTATGTTTCTCAGCTTAACTTACCTTCTCCTCACATGATCCTTAGCCTATATATTACCCTCCTCCAGTTGCTCCTGAAAAATCACATGGACTTCATCTCCCTCATCCTTCCGTTTTCTCATGTCACCTCCTTTTCTCTTCTCTGGCCATGCCCTTCTCGCCACTGCCAACATCCCGTCTTCTCCCTTATCCCTTTTCCCCCTTTCAAGCACAGTGAACCCTCACCATCGTTACACAACCACATCCCCGACCTCCCAGCATCCCTTACCCCATATCAATATCATCCTTGTAACCACTGTTGTTCTTGTGGATCTCCATCATCGAGCATTACCACTATTGATATCTCATCTATCAGTCTCCATGAACGTTTGAGGGTATATAAACTTGTCAAACCAGTCTCCATCGTATAAACTTGTCAATTTGTTGACAGGGTATTGAGTGGTCCTTTTTTTTGTAGAATATATCATTCTAATCAGTATAAGATTCAATGTCAAATTAACGGTTGATAAATATTTTAGTCCTTGTGATTTATTGTTTTTCTTGGACCGAGTCCCTACAAAACTTTTATTGTAAGAAAACCTCATGGTATGCACTTTTGCATGGTTTTGGTTCCTCCCACTAACTGATAAATTCCGCGAGTTAAGTAAGGGAATTTTGGTCTCTTTGATGTTTCTTTCTCATATTTTAAACAAATCAAATCATAAAACCATATCTTATTTTATTTAGAGTGAATAAAAAAAGAGATGCTCTTATGATTTGATTTGTTTAAATTAAAAAAATTAATTATATTAAAAACGTTTTAATTTATTGTTCTTTTTCTATCATTAGAATAAACAAGTTTATTATCGATATTTTAACCTCAAAAATCACTGAAACCATCAACAAATGAACTCCAATTTTATCAGCCCAAAACTAGGGTTTCAGTTTTCATATTATTCTTCTCTCAGAAACTCAAAATGAATTATTTAGATTTTAACCAGAGGAGATTCATACATACTATCATCTTGGTAACTTCAAATTGATCAAATCTCTACATAAACTTTAACCAAAATTTCATACCTAAATAAGCAAAAAGACTAAAAAAATAATATTGAACTCAATTTAATATAATTAATTTTTTTAAATTAAACATATCAGATAATAAAATAATATCTTATTTTATTTATTTTGATATGGATATCTATATATGCGTGTGTGTATAAAAATATTGTTTTTTATGTTTTTTTTTTATAGTAAAAAGACAAAAAGATAGACAAAAATACTAAAATGATTTATGATTTAACCGAGTCAACGGATTTATTTTAATGAAGTAGTTAAAGGAACAATAGCCATGACAAATTGAATATAACAAAACTAAGTCAATAATAACATACGATAAGGACCCTGATAAAAAAATCAAAATACAGAACTAAATTCGTAGTGCACAAATCTAAAGCATAACAAAATCAATAATTTTCAATCGTTAAAAATCACTTATGATAACAAAAAAAAATTATATTATTTTGCACCCGTTATAGAATAATTGAAAAATAACAACAACAGAATAAAAAGAAGAAATATGTAATTCTTATTAATCAAAAGCCCTTTTTATACGGATGAGTTACAAGTAGATAACTACGAGATATTTCACTTTTAATCTAACTCTGATATATTTATATCTATCTCTATCGTCGTATCCTTTAGACGATGACACACTTATCCTACAACACTTCTCCTTATGCCGAGTCAAAGGAGTGATGGTGCGCAATTGTTGCCTCGTTAAAACCTTACGCCAAAATAAAAACCCAGTAGGAAAAAATAAAATTAGGACGGAGGAAAAAGTACAACGCACCAGTTTCTTTACAATACATAGATTTTTTCTTTTAGTCTAATATTCTTTCATATTCGTATATTAATCATGAGCGTTAGGAAAGAAATATGGGATATAAATTGTTGTCTCACTAAAATCTTACACCAAGGAACAAAACCCAATGGGAAAAATAAAACCTTGGGTGAAGGAAAGAGCACAACATACCTATATCACATGTATAGTAGGCTCCCCCTTTTGTCTACTACTTCCCCTGATACGTACATTAATCAAAGGAGTTTGGAAAGTCTCTGCATTCCAGTAGTTTCCACATGTTTCTCAAATGTGGCCTTAGGCAGTGATTTGGTAAACAAGTCAACCACATCACTTGAATCTTAAGGAGAGTATGTGGTTGCTGATTATAGAAAAAATTTGGCGAAATATGTTTTGTATTATCACCCTTGATATATCATACTTTCATTTGTTCGAAAGAAGTTGCATTATCTTCATATATGTATGTAGGATTTTGAGTGGTTGAACTTAAACCACTAACCCCTCTTATTTGTGTAATGACAGACCCTAGCCATATACATTATCGAACCGCCTCATATAAAGCAATAATATCTAAATGGTTCGAGATGATAGCTACAAGGGTTTGCTTGGTAGATTTCCAAGAAATATTCGTGTTCCCAATTGTAAAATATCATTTCAGGTTTCACTGTATAACGCTTTCTTTGTCAATACTTTTAACAGGTATTGTAACCCCTTTTTTTTGTAGGGAAAGTATAAGCCCATATTGATGGTTCCTTTTAGGTATCAGAATATATTATTGATACCATTCCAATGACGTCGTGTTGGCGCTGAGCTAAATCTAGCTAACAAGTTCACCGAGAATGCAATATCTGGTCGAGTACATTGTGCTAAGTACAATAATGAACTTATTACACTTAGATAGGGAACTTCAGCTCCAACACCTCATCATCCTTTAGACGAAACGGATTTTTCCTTATATCCAACACTTCGACTGATCGTGGGAGTGCTAACCGAATGCACTTTATCCATATTAAATCACATGATCATTTTCTGGACATATAAACTTGTTGTCCTAGCTCAAATAGCTAGACAAAACCAATTTTTCCCAAGATCTTTCATCTCAGATTTAGATTTCAAGCAGCTTGTGGTTTCTCTAATTTCATCAATAGTGCCTATTATGTTCATAACATCTACATGTAGAGCTACAATTGAAAGTCTAGAACTCGTTTTCTTTATAAATACACAAGGGCACGGTTCATCATTCTTATATCTCTTTAATCAAGTATTCACGTAGGCAAGTATACCACATCCACCTAGATTTCTTTAATCTATAAAGTGAGCAATTTTAATGCAAATGCACTATGTGGTTTAGAGTTACTTGATTTAGGTAATGTAATGTCATGAAACACTTTTATATATCTCTGAATCAAGATCCTCATAGAGATATGTAGTAACCACATCATTGAGCTGCATTTCTAGCCCTTCGGAAGCTACTAGGCTAATTAATTAGTAGAACATTATAACATCCATCACGGGAGAGAAAGTCTTCTCGTGGTCAATCCAGGCCGTTGTGAGAAAATCTTCCGCCAGAATTAGTTGTCAATCAATACGATATCATTTATGTTAGACGTCGTGAATTCTAGCACAACATAGCGTTTGTCAGACACTAAAGCTATTTATAGCCTTCTCCTATTACCTCAGGTTTTGAAAGTCACTACATTTTTATACACAAAATTAGTTGTCAATTAATTTTAATGTAATCATCAAATGAAATATTAAGCACCTGAAACACATAGTATACTATAATGCTAATAAGGCACCTTTGTACTTTCACATTGGCTTTGGTTTTAATTTCCCGTTACACCCCCAGCTAAGGCGTTAGCCCATCATCGCTCGGTTTCTTCTCTCAAATGATGTAAGGACTGAAAAATAAATAACTGATACAGAAAAGTAAATTGCAGAAAGTAAATTACGAGAAATTTAAAATACTGGAATTTAAAGTACTGAAAATTAAATGACAGAAATATAAATGACTGAAAGTAAATTGCTGGAAATTAAATGACATAAAAGTAAATTGCAGTAAAGTAAAATGCAGAAAAGTAAAGACTGAAATATAAAAGACTGAAATGTGAAGAATTGAAATGTAAAAGACTGAAATTAAATTACTAA